ATGGAGGAAGTCGATTATATTAGATGGTATTAGAGGATTACCAGACGGGGATAATCACTCAAACCACGCCTCCAGTCGACGAAATCGAGATACGCTCCTAAGTAACAAGCAAGATATGGACCAAGAGGTGTAGATGAGAGAAAATGGGTAAGTAAATTACGCAAATTAGAATAGTTTTTTTAATCTCTTGTTAGTTTTTGATTGCTTATATATATAATTATCTTTTTATGTAATTGTAGATAGACGCTATGGATGGGATTGAGGGGATTGTAAATGAGGGCATAATTATCGTCACAGGAGATTCAGTACATGTATCGGTATTGCATCGGATAGTGACGAAGGTTTGTAGAGCTCTTCATCAAACTCATAAGGATCGGCATGAAGGTTGCGAACAGATGGCGCATGAGAGGGTATATGCACGTCGACGAAGACGTGATAGATCTTGCACGCACGACAATGAAGATGATCCGTCATAGCAAGCTGGTCTGTTACAGCCCCACACACAACCGGAGAGCGAGCAAATACAAGCTCAAGTCGAAGGAGGCCATCGACGATCTGAGCGGGTACGAAGAGGGAGACAACGGAGAAGGGGCGAACTTTTATTCTATCACCAGATTAGCACGAAAGTGAAAGAATAAAACGAAATAACACACACAAATTTAACGTGGTTCGGCACAAAATTGCCTAAGTCCACGGGCTGCTGTAGATTATTCACTAATGGGAGAATTTATAAGTGTTTTTTACACACAACTCACAAGAAAAATATCTCTAGAATTTTTCCTCACAAAATCACTCTGATTTTACCTCTCTTCTCAAGAACACTCAGAAGGATTGAATAACTGATTGAGGATGTCTATTATGGAGAGAGCGAGGGGGTCTATAGCATGCGTATACCCCCTCCTTTTTTTCTTACTTCCCTTTTTGACTCTTGCTCCCTGCCATTTTTTCTTTCTTTCTTTTCTTTTTGACACTTGCTCCCTTACTTTTCGGTGGCTATCTTTGTTGACAAGAGCAGCCATCAATCTTGATAATCTCCCACTTGAAGGCTGATTTTAATCTGTCTTCATATTTTGATCTATGCAGTAACTCTTCCCCGGTCTTAATACTATTGCTGGCCAACTGAAACTGAACACAGCTTCAATTTGTCAATAGTCACCATCTTTGTTAGCATGTTTACCGAATTTTGAGCTCCACTGATCTTTTTAAGTTTTAAAATTTTATCTTTCAGAAGTGACCGGATAAAATGATACTGCACCTGTATGTGCTTCGTTCTGAAATGAAAAGACGGATTCTTCGCTAGATGAATAGCACTTTGACTATCGCAATATAAGACTTTGTCTTCTTATTTCTTGCCTAATTCATCCAAGAAACTTTGATCAAACCATTTCTTTGCTGGCTTATGTAACAGCTACATATTCTGCTTCAGCTGTGGAGAGAGTAACTATCTTCTGCATTTGAGAAACCCAACTCACCGCAGTACCTCCTAGAGTATAGATATACCTTGTAGTGCTCTTTCTGATATCAACATTTCCTGCTAAATCAACATCTACATAACCTGTTAGTATTGTATCTCTTCCTTTGAAACAAAGTGTTTTACCTGTGATGCCTTGTAGATATTTAAGGATCCATTTGACTGCTTCCCAATGTACCTTGCCCGGATTATTCATGTACTTGCTAACAGCTCCCACTGTTTGAGTAATATCTGATCTTGTGTAAACCATGACATACATCAGATTTTCAATTGTTAAGGCGTATGGGATTGTGCACGCTCTTCCTCTGTCTTCGGTGACTGCTCTTTGGAAAGTCTAAAATGAACACCTAAATGTGTACTCACTGGTTTAGCATCTTGCATATTGAACCTGGAGAATACTTTGTTGATGTACTCAGCCTGTGATAACATCAAAGTCCCAGACGTCGTTTCTCTCTTGATCCTCATTCTAAGAATCTGCTTTGCAGTGCAAAGATCTTTCATTGCGAACTGTTTTGATAATTTTTGCTTCAAATTTATAATCTCTTACAGATCTAAACCTGCAACGAACATGTCACCAACATATAATAATAGAATAATGAAGCTATTGTCAAACCTCTTGAGATAGATACAATGATCTGCTTAGCATCTAGTGAAACTGTTGCTGCCCATAAAGCTATCAAACTTCTTGTACCACTGGTTGGAAGCTTGTTTTAATCCATACAAGATCTTCTTCAAACGACATACTAAATTTTCCTTGCTTGCCTTTATGAAACCTTTTGGTTGCTTCATATAGATCTCCTCCTCCAAATCACCATGAAGGAAAGTTGTTTTTATATCTAACTGCTCAAGATGTAAATTCTCAACAACTATAATTTTTAACACCAGTCTGATTGTAGTCAATTTCATGACCGGAGAGAATTTTATTGTAGTCAATACCTTATTTTTGTTGAAAGCCTTTGACAACCAATCTTACCTTGTAGCTTGTTCCCATCATGCTCTTCTTTGATCTTGTAAATCTACTTGTTATAAAGAGCTTTCTTACCTTGTGGTAATTCAGCTAAGTCCCACGTCTAATTTGACATAAACGAGTCCATCTCATCTTGCATAGCAGACCCTCACTTGACTGAATCATCTACCTGCATTACTTCATCATAACATTATGGTTCACCACTGTCAGTCAGCAACAAGTAGTACAAAGAAGATGAATAACGCTATATTGGCTTAGGAATTCTGAATGAGCGTCTCACTTCTGACGTGCTTGATTCTTCTTAAACTACTTCAGGACTAATCTGAACATTTTTAGAAATCTCATCAAATTCAGCAAATTTCTTAATTTTAGCTTTTGTACTAGAGCTACTTGATTCTGTAATTGATTTGTCTTTGTACATCACATTCTCATTGAATATGACATCTCTGTTTCTGATGATCTTTCGATTTTCATAATCCCAAAACCGGTAACCAAACTCATCACCATCATAACCAACAAAAACACATTTGTTAGATTTAACATCAAGTTTATTTCTTTTAACAGAATCTATGTGTGTACATAAGAGATACAACCAAAAACTCTTAAATGCGAAAGGTTTACCTCTTTTCTACTCCAAGCTTCTTCCGGTATTCCACCGTCCAAAGGAACTGAGGGCCCACAGTTGATTAGGTAGGTTGCGATATTAATAGCTTCAGCCTATAGAAACTTAGGCAAGCCGACATGTATCCTCATGCTTCTGGCACGTTTATTCAAAGTTCTATTCATGCGTTCTGCTACGCCATTCTGTTACGGTATCATGGGAACTATTTTTTACATCTTGATCCCGTTGTTTGCGCAAAATTTTTTGAATCTACTATCTTTGTACTCTCCTCCATTATCTGACCTTAACCGCTTTATCTTCAAACCAGTTTCATTTTCCACCATGGCTTTTCATTTTCTGAAGGTATCAAAGACTTCTTATTTCTTGTAGAATCATCAATGAAGGTGACATAGTACAGTGAGCTTGCAAGAGATGGAACTGGAGATGGCCCCATATGTCAGTATGAACCAACTCTAACTTTTTTACCTCGGGTGTCTTGCTAATCTTTACAAAACTGCCTTTTTTCTATTTGTCAAAGATGCAATCCTCGCATAGGCCGACATCTACATTATTCAGATCTGACAGCTTCCCTTTTGAAAGAAGTGTTTTCATCCTTTTCTCGCTCATATGACCAAACCTTTAGTGCCATACGTTTGATTTTTCATCTGTTACTGCAATAATATTCTCTAAGTAAGAGGTTATGATGCGAAACAATGCGATGCAGGTATGAAGATCAGCGACGATAATGTTTCACCAAAACAGCGATCGATCTAGGCAGGAAGCTCGAGAATAAAGTGAAGTTCTAGATGGTTTTAAGCAAAAATTACGAATGTACTACGTTCAGACCTTTGTAAATTATTCAGATAATAAATGTAATGATTTGTTCTCTTAATAAAGTTCAACTCGTAATATATAGATTTGCAGGTATACTTGGCAACGGAAACACTCGCTCACTAAATCAAACAGAGTACAGCACAATCACAATTGATATTAATATTGATAGTAACATGCACGCAATAGTGGTTCCGAAAATACCGGGTCGAAAGAAAACTAAACATTCGCCAGGTTGAACTGGTTCGACGTGAGGGACCTCTGGAGGCGGCGTGACGGCGTCGAACTGGATGACGATGTAGCAGCAAATCTGAGCGACTACGGTGAACTGAACTGAACTGAGTGACGACGCGACGACGAAAGCGGGCGGTGGTGTCGAACTGGATGATGGCAAACTGATCGGTGACGATGGTGGACTGAGCGTCGACGACAACAAACTGAGCGTCGACGGAAGTGGCGACGTCGATTGGATGTAGTAGCCTGCAATGTTGGTGTTGGTTGCTCCAATCAAAGGAACACAAGGGAGAGTAGCGGTGGACAGGGAGTTGGTGGGCGGCGCTCGGCTAGGAGGACATCTGGAAGGGGAAAGGACATGACGACTGTTGGCAGGGAGGAGAAGTTCAAGGGAAAAGGGGGGGCGCTGTCGACGGTAAGGACATGGGTTCGTGGCTTGTGGAGGAAGGCGGGCGGCGGCGTTTGCTTGGGAGCGGTGGTTTTGTAGGAGGAGTGCGGTGCCGGTTGCTTTAGTGGAAGCGTGGCTTGTGGGCTTGAGAGTTGAGGATGAATCGGCGAGAAAGGAGATGGTGGGCTCGGTTTTTTGGAGAGGGAGTGGCGACTGGGAGGTAGCAGGAAGATAGGCGGGCCGTAGGTTTGGAAGCGCGGGCGCCCCAGAGAGGAGTGGAGGCCGCAGGTTGGAGTGAGGGATCGGGGAGGAGCTGGACCTGGTAGTTGCGGAGAAGGAGAGAGATGGGGCAGCGTTATTGATTGGAGCAGAAGAGGATATGGGTTTGGAGGCTGAGTCGTTTACGTGGAGAGGAGAAAGTGTGACGGCTGTGTATGAGGAGAGAGAAAAAAAAAAGAAACGTAGATAATTGGCTAGGATTTCACACCAATGGTTCACACCAAAATTTCAGTCAACACGAATTTTCAATTCAATCTTTAATAATGTTCTGATTACAATTTGCGCTTAAATAGAATAGAAAATACAAGATTTTAGGAGATTCCCCAAATCACTCAAAATCTTTCACAATCAATCAGTACTAAAACTGATTAGCTACCAAATCCAAACTAAAATTCGAAATTCAAAATTAACTATTACAATTGAAATAACTACTACTGAAATAACTACTAACTAAAAAATGAAAACCACAATGCTGAAACGCGACGTCTCCTGCGCTGATAAACACGACGAAAATCACGTGCACGTATCTGGATGTCCTCATCATTCTCTCCATATGGGAGAGAACTCGACCTTGTCGAGTGTAAATCAAGACGACTGCCACACTGCTTAAGAAGATCTGGATCCAGCCTCTGTAAGTCACCTCGATTGAGCCAAGTATCATCAGACTCAAGTCAACCTTTCCAACGCACCAAGTACCTGTGAATACCACCATCGCTAGGAGAAACAATGTTATCATCAATAATATTATCAATGACATGTGTTGTATATGGGGGTGATATTTAGGGAAGTGGAGGTAAAGGGGAGCTCTCAAAAATAAGCTCAGGGTAGGCTCATCAACCAGTGGGTTGTCAGGGTTAAAATGTGGGTTTTTGTACTCTACTAAATCCTCAATATTAAAAGTCGAACCAATATTAAAACCTTCAGGAAGGTTGAGAACATAAGCATTATCATTAATTTTCTTGAGAATTTTGAAAGACCTTGCACTTCGTACATGTAACTTTTTGACAGTTCCCGGAGGAAACCGTTCCGAACGTATCCGGACCATCACATAATCCCCAACACTAAATTCTTTGAACCTCTTTAGATTTGCACGCATTTTATAGTTGGCATTGTTGTCGTTAATCTTTTTGCTAATTTCTTTATACAAAGTCATGAATGCGATATGCAAATGCAGATGCTGATTTAGATACTCTATGATGTGCAGACACGGGGACAAGATATATAGGCTGTCTAGACTTGTAACCATACACGACTTCAGCTGGACTGACATCTATAGACCTATTTACAGAATTATTATAAGCAAATTCAGCAGTAGGCAGATGTTGATCCCAATCCTTAAGATTCTCACCAACTAACAATCTCAAAAGGTTACCTAAACTCCTGTTGACTATCTTAGTCTGACCATCGGTGTGGGGATGAAAAACCGTAAAGAATTAAAGTTTAGTTCCCATTTTGTACCAAAGAGTTTTCCAAAAATAACTGGTGAATTTAACGTCCCTATCAGACACAATTGTTTTCGATAATCCATGCAGTTTAACAATTTCGTTAAAGTACAGCTTGGCCACATGAGAATCGTCAAAAGTTTTGGAGCACGATATGAAGTGGGCTATTTTGGAGAATCGGTCCACAACAATAAAGACAGAATCGTGTTTTCTAATCGTCTTCGGAAGTCCTAACACGAAGTCCATACTGACGTCCTGCCATGGACAATTTGGGACAGGAAGAAGAGTGTACAGACTAGTATTTTGTTTGCATTGTTTAGATAGTTGATAGGTATGACATCGACCCACTAGCCTAACAACGTCACGTTTAATGCTTGGCCAATAGAAGCGACATTCAACTGTCTCGACAATCTTGTTATTCCTAAAATGTCCTGTAATGTCTCCAGCGTGTAGTTCCCAAATCAAAAATTCTCTTAGAGAGGTGTTCGGAATACACAACTTGTTAAAATGGAAAAGATATCCATCCTTCAGGAGAAAGCCATCTATCACATGGTTCACTCCATCATTCAGCAAAGTGTAAACTTCGCTGAAATCAGAGCACGACTCATATTGCTCTTTGACTTTCTCAAAGCCGATTACTTCCGCACTCATAATGGAAAGAAGGTGCATACGGCGACTGAGTGCGTTGGCGGCCTTATTCTCTACTCCTACTTTATGTTTAATCGTATAGTCTTGTAGGAATTCAACCCAACGACCATGTCTGGCACTCAGCTTCTTTTGGGAGTGGATATATCGAAGGGCCACGTGGTTAGAATATATAACGAATTCTTGCGATAGCAGGTAGTGACGCTAGTGTCGAAGAGATTGTATCACTGCATAGAATTCTTTATCATAGATGGAATAACGCTGCCTAGTGTCATTCAGCTTCTCACTAAAGTAAACAACAGATGTCCTTCTTGAGATAGGACTCCACCTATACCAATACCAGAGGCATCGCACGCAACTTCAAAGACCTTAGAAAAATCGGGTAGGCGCATAATAAGTATTTGCGACATCCTCTGTTTGATCTCCACGAATGCCTTGGTAGCAGCTTTTGACCACTCAAACTCGTCTTTCTTCAAGCAATTGGTGATAGGGGCCATGATGGTACTAAAACCCTTTATAAACCGACGATAAAAAGTAACCAAGTCCGTGTAAGTTTCGAACATCTCTAATGTTCTTAAGCTCGGGCTGTTCTTCGATAGCTCTGATTTTCTCAGGATCAGCGGATACTCCTTCAGAAGAGACCACAAATTTTAGAAAAATGTTTTGGTGTGTAAGAAAAATACATTTCTTAGGATTAGCATAGTGTTGCTCTTTTCTTAACACAGCACATACTTGACGCAGATGGTCTACGTGTTGCTCACGAGAGTTAGGGGGTTATTGGTTGGGACAAATTAGGGCCAAGTGAAAAAATTATTCCAATGGAATAATTTTACCCCATTGAGATATTTTGAGTGGAGTAAAGTGGGATAAAGTGAGATAATGGGATAATTTGAGCCTTTGATTTGACAATTTATTTGGGATAATTGATGACGTGGCACCTTATTAAAATATAATTTTATCTATTAATTACTTATAAATTAACTTATCCAATTGGTTTAGTCTATTATTTAGTAAATTATTATTTTACTTTATATTAAAATATAATATATTATACTATACTTACAAATTACTATTATTAATTATTATATTATATTATATTAGCATGTTATACTATATATAATAATTAATATAATATAATATCAATATATTTAATATAATATTTTTAATAATATAATATGTAATATAATACAATATTTTATTTGTTAATATATTATATTATTTCAAACTATAGTATTATATTATATTATATCATAATATTTTACTAATATTAGTAATTATTATATTATATTATAATAGTATGTCATATATATAATAACTATAATAATATTTTATAAATTAATTATATAAAAATATATTATATAATAATATATGTTATTAAAATATTATATACATGTTATTAAAATAATAATATATGTTATTAAATTATGTCATTAAAATATTAATATATGTTATATTTTATATATCATGTCATATATTTATAATATAATTGTATGTATTAGTTAAGTAATACAAAAATATTTTAAAATTATCCCAATTACCTTCAAAGTGGAACAACATTGTTCCAATATGGAGGATTGGGTAAATTTTTACTATTGGGATAAAATTTTTATATATGAATAGGGTAATTTTATCCCAAGTGGTGTAATTGTCTCACTAGTGTTCTAAAAAACCAATAACACAAAAAATGTATTATCCTTGTTCCATTGTCCCAATGAATAACACTATGAAATAGAATCCCCAAAATTATCATATTATCCCCCAAAATATCCCAACCAATAACCCTCTTTACTGTAAATAAGTAAATCAAAGCGTACCACTAAGAACCAGTGAAGGTACGGAGTACTTGAGTCATCACTCTCATAAAAGTACTCGGAACATTAGTCAAACCAAAGGGCATGACCATCCATTCGTACAATCCGTCTTTCGTCTTGAAAATGATCTTCCATTCGTCACCGGGACGGATGCGAATCTGGTGGTAACCACTCTTAAGATCAATCTTAGAAAATATAGTGGCTCCAGACATTAGATCAAGCATGTCATCCAACCGGGGAATGGCGAAACGATACTTTACCGTGATCTTGTTAATTGCACGGTTGTCCAAACGCATACGTCATGTTCCATCTTTCTTGGTGTTAGTAATGCGGGGACCGCACAAGGACTCATGCTTTCTTTCACAAAACCTTTCTTCAATAGCTCATCAACTTGCCTCTTCAGCTCTGCATGTTCATTGGGGTTCATCCAATAGTGAGGCAAATTAGGAAGGGTTGCTCCCTGGACTAAATCAATTGCGTATTGGATATCACGCATCGGGGGTAGTTGGTCCGGGAGGTCCTCAGGGAAGACGTCAGAGAATTCTTCCAACACAAGAGCGACTTTTGGAGGGACCACGTCAGGAATATCCTTAGGAGCTTCTCTAGCAGAGAGGGCAAAAATAGGGGTTCCATTGGCTAGCTCACGATCGATCTTTTTGGCTCCAATCAGATTAACGCCTCGGGAAGACTTGTCTGGATCGGGCTTCTTGTCACTACCTTTCGGTTGAACCGGAAGGATCTTGACATTCTTCCTGTCATGCTCGAATAATAGCATGTTTGATCGCCCGAAGATGTGAACGTCGTTATCAAACAGCCAAGGTCTTCCAAGAATAATTTGACCCACATCCATCTTCAGAACATCGCACCAAACCTTGTCCTTGTAAATGGCAAATTGAAGAGGGACTAAACATCTCTCTTGGACATTAAGTGCGGTGTCGTTAATCCATGATATCTTGTATGGATTAGGATGAGGTACGGCCTTAAGACTAATCTTGGCTATCACAGCTAATGAGACCGCATTGATACAGCTTCCACTATCCACAATCACTTTGCAATTTTTATCGCCAATTTTTGTGAACGTGTGGAAGATGGAAGTACGCCTCCAATCATCAACAATCTTGGGTTGGGAGATGGCGCATCTAACAACTGATATGGTGGGAACCTCGATTTTTCTAAGGCAACCTAAGACAGTATCATCTGCTTCGTCCTTGAAATCATCGGTATCATCATCAACGCGATGGACAAACTCGTTGATATCAAGTTCTGGTTCATATTCATATTGATCATCGATGATAGCAACCTTGTGACGGGTCGGACAGTTCGCAGAAACATGCTCATACCCTTGACATTTGTAGCACTTGACATGCGGGCCAATCTTAGAAAAATCTCTCTAGAATTTTTTTTAAGAGGGACTTTTAGGAGTCTCCATCCTTGCTTCGTTGAATGCACGATCAATCTTTTGTAGAAACTATTGTTAGAGTTGTTTTGAAGGAAGCTCCGATGGGAGCTAGGTGTCTTCAAGGTGGGATGCTAACCTGTTGACAGATACTAGGCCGACGAATACCAAGTTTTGAGTGGCAAACTTGGTGTCAAAGCTTCTACAGAGAAGTTGAAAGACTCAGAACCAAAGCTTTGTCGGAGAAGCGAGGAGTTAAAACTCCAAAAGCTCAAGAAGAGCTAAGCTCAAGAGCTAAAGATGAAGCTGCAAAAGGGGCTAAAGAAACCTCTAGAGGAGCTAAAGAGAAAGCTCCACGGGAGCTAGAAAGCAAGAGCTCTCTTGGAAGCTCACGCGAAGCTAAGATTATCATATGAATACAATGATGCATGAATTCTCGTTGAGGAAGACATCAACGCTAAGATTATCATGTGAACAAAAAAAAGATATAGAATGTAAGTCAACCTTGAGGATTTGAACGCATCAACCTTGAGGATTTGAATGCGGAAAGAGAACATGGATCTGTGCAAGCAATACACCTTGTTTCATAACAGATGTCATACTCATGCCCTGCTCAAATCCTTCAAATTCCTTAAATGCTTCTCCATTTTGGAGTATACACCGGTAAAAGGACATGTTTCTGCAAATTTCCTAAAAAGTAATGCTTGATGATATTTCCTAAAAAGTGTGTAGTGCAGCAACAGCATCAAGATTGGTTCTGATGAAAAAAGCTTTACTAGCAACCTCAAGGGATACGGGACACAATGGAGGATACTATCCAAGCTGGAATAAAGGAATGGTGACCTAATTAGTTCAATGCCAAAGAGACGTTATTGTGGGTAAAAGAAAGGAGGTATCTTCAGGAGAGTGGGATTGGTGTGGTATCATTTTACTTGGTTTGGTAAGTTTTGGTTTTGAGTTGCCATAATGTGTTGGACCTGATAATTTGAGAGAGAGAGAGAGAGAGAGAGAGAGAGAGAGAAATTGGGTTGGATGAAAGCATACAGACATGTAAGTCTGCCAGTAAATTTCCTTTTCCTTTTGCAGTTATGTGGTTTAGTGATATGCGGAAGTGGAAATTTTTGGGAAGCAGGATAACAAGAATTTGGAATTCTTTGTTAAAAAAAGAGCAGAAGCAAAAGAATTTCGGTTTTGCTAGCAGAATGATGAGGAAGATAGGTTGTCACTGATGTGGTAAGTATGATAGCAATGTGCAAGTCAAAGCAGAGACATTTATTGGATACACTACCTGCATATGTTATCTCATAAGGATGAGGGTACAGAAGAAGCTAGTTATCTTCAATGAGGGATGCAAGGCCAACTAAACCTCAATAATTTTAATACACAGGAGATGAAGTGAGGTTTAAATGAAAAGACGAAGACCAGTAAGTTCCACACACTTAAAATGAAAAGACGAAGGTCAGTAAGCTCCCCACACTTAAGCAACAATCAGCTTTGCCTATAAAGGAATTGTGGAGTAATTTAGGAAGAATGCACCATGCATACCTTGCTTATGAACTTATATAGATTCTGACTGTGTCCTATCAAGAGTCACTTCCGCATCAAATTCTAGTGCCAAAAAGAGGCAAGCCGGTAGAAAGTCACTAGAGGCAGGTGAACCATGAATAGTGCCAAAAAGAGGCAAGCCGGTAGAAAGTCACTAGAGGCAGGTGAACCATGAACGTGAGTGATAGTGGTTTTGTGTTAGAAAATGTTATGCAGCAATTATGCAATGAAGTTAACATAAATGGAAAAATAACCAGGTTGTTACGGAGACAAGGGACCATAGTTACACAGTAGGCGATACCTTGCTTATGAACTTAAATAGATTCTGACTATGTCCTATCAAGAGTCACTTCTGCATCAAATTCTAGTGCCAAAAAGTGGCAAGCTGGTAGAAAGTCACAAGAGGCAGGTGAACCATGAACGTGAGTGAAAGTGGTTTTGTGTTAGAAAATGTTATGCAGCAACTATGCAATGAAGTTAACATAAATGGAAAAATAACCAGGTCGTTTTGGAGATGAGGGACCATAGTAACACAGTAGGAGGGTCGTAGTAAAAATTTGGATACACAATTTACCACTTAGGCCTCGTTTGGTACGCGGGAATGGACTCAAACGAGAATGGAATGGAAGAAGGAATGGAATGGAATTAATGTGAGAATGGAATAGTCATTCTCATTCTCACGTTTGGGTGTAATTTATAAAATGAAGTGGGAATGGATGTATTTTAAAATTGTATATTTTATTGATTCCTATTTAAGTGAGAATGTCCATTCCCACATAAAGTGGGAATTGATGAGAAGTGAGAATGGGCATTCCAACTTTAAAAAAGAGGGTGTGTTAGGTAGGAAGGAATGAGAAGTGAGAATGACCATACCATTTCACCCCATTCCCGCGTACCAAACGAGGCCTTAGAAAATTTGGATTCAACAGGCAGTAGCTTGCTTCAGTACACAAGTCCTGTACAAAGTACATTGTAAATTTTCTTTTTTGGGTGCACTTGTCATTTTCCAAAGTGTATGGTAGAAAATTAGAAACTACAAAACTAATCGTGTATTTCAATATTTTACATAATAACTACTAAAATACTTCTTTTGTATAGAGTTCATTCTCTTTTCTGAGACTGTTTTATGCAATTTTAATGATTTTCTTTTTCTTTCTTTCTTTTTCTTTTCGTTTTTTGTTTGTTTGTTTGTTTGTTTGTTTGTTTAGAGTTTGGTTTTTTTTTCATTTCACATATTTTGTGTTGGGGTGATGGTTCTGTTTCATGTTTTATTAACATATTTATTTAGTTATAGTAAAGTCATTGACTCATATATTCTATTGTGCGCTTCCCTTCACTTGATTGAGCACATCATATTGCATCTTACGCGCATGTACACTTAAAGGGACTTTGTGCCCCCACATACTTGTGAGCGGGACGCCTATATTGGTGAACCAATTCGTGTATTAGAGGGGAATTTGTTCGTAAATGTACTTGGAATTGGTTCACATGACATGTACGGCATTTCGTGCGGGGTCCAATGAATTACGCAACTCTGTGAGGGACAATTGGAAGGAAGCTGGGTAAATTGGATGGGTGACAAATGAACTGTGGCGGTAAAAAGAAGCTTTTTGAAGGAGCTCACTTCACTAAAGATACAGAAGATGGTAGTGAGAGACACTACTCTCTAATTCGGCATAAATTGGAGCAACACTAACGCCATTGAGATTGGCAAAAGAGTTACAGGGGATTGTGTTTTAACCACCAGATGAAGGATGGATGAAGGGTACCTAATCTTTTCTGGAATCAATTTTTTTTTGCTTCACCAATCAGCAATTGGTTCTGTAGTTCATTTCATATTTTGCTTGAAGAATTATTTTTGGATTTGTTCAAGAAAAGGACTTGACGAAGTTCATGTCTACAGATTCATAAGCATATACTTTGAATGTCATGGGATGACTGAGTCTTGATGCAAGCTTTCCAACTAAGAATATTGATACTGAAGCAGGAACGACAAAAATAACTCATCATCAGGGCAAAATTCTAATGCATTTGACACGGCAAAGAAACTAAATAAGTGTAATGTTTCAACAGAACACTGCTTTAGTGTCTCCTGCAACATAGATTTTGAAAGTTCGAAGTAGATGGAACTTATACTAAATTATGAAGACACCTTTCTTACTTTTGTTTTGTCAATTTGTCTTATAATGGAGGAAATCTAATTTAGTAAGACTGTTTTTTGCATGATTTCTTCGTAAATTTATACAGTTAACATTGTGTTGTAATGCGTTTGCCACTAAGTGGGTGGGATGCAGTAATTAGCCTCATCAACTCTCTAAATCCTTGTGGATCAACTTGGAAAGGAAGGATACTCTCTTTGCATTTAATTTAAATGATAATCTAGCAACTAAAAGGGAAAAAACATTACAACAAAAGACTACCGGTTCTACACAGTCTAGTTGGTACTGAAACCAGCATGCAAGGGCATGTACGACTGTAGCAAGAATGTAAGCTTATTTTCCACAATATGTATTATAATAACATTAATTTATTACATAAAGTTCTTACAGACGAAATAAAAAGGAATTAGGAGGGAATGTCTCAATTGTGTTGGCTGTTATTGTATTTTGAATTATTTGGATGAAGTGATCTTTTGACCATTAAAATAACAACAACATGGATTTATGCTACATGTGATAATAACATAAACCATGATGAAGCAAAAAAGTCAAATTTTCTGCAGATAACAAAATATGAAATCATGTAAAGTTAAGAAAGGATTAAAGGAGAGACCGGTACCCCCTCGGATTGGATCTGACATGACTAATGGCCAAAATCAGGCCCAAGTTGCAACCCGGATTAGATCCAGGTAAGGAAGTTACCAAACTAACGCTTGCATTGTTATAACAAAGGAAATGCAAAACACATCATCTCTAAATAGAGCATATTAAGATGGATAAGTTCATATCGACTAAGAATATCAATCTCAATTACCAGGAAAATGATCGAGATATGACTGGCCCACTTCCTTCGTCTCATAAGATATCGACATGCTACGCAGGTGCTTCTGTTTGCTAAGTGGTTTGCGCTCTTTTGCTTCTTCCAATAGCTCTTCATATTCATCCTGATCATATGGCTTATCCAGAATGGCCATTAGCTCTGTCTTATATAACTCACACTGCTGAAGGGATGCCATGTTACCATCCTCACACACCTGATATTTCCAATTTGCGGGATGCTTAACATTTTAGTAATTTTATAGCAAAAGGGATCAGTTCAATTATTTTCATAAAAATAAAGAGTAAATTGCCCATAACCCCCTTGTCTATACCTTCAGTTGCACTAATCCCCCCTCAGCTCATTTACCAGAACTTACCTCCCCTCAATTCTTAAGAGAGGTATTACTTGTAATTTATCATACTCCTTTTAAAAGCACGAGTTCTGGAAAATCTTTCGGTAGACAAAAATACCCTTGAAATAATTCAAATACTAATCCATTAAGTAAGAGCAAGTTGATAAATTGATGAATTCTTATTGGATATACATAGTATGAAGATAGGGATACAGTTTAAATTGAAATGTAAACATGAATGAAATTATTAAATGCCAACTTTACAAATGTATACAAAATGAATGGCGTATATGCAAAAACCAAACAAATCAACGAGACAAAAAATGTCTACCCCAAAGGTTGAATCTAGAAACATCACAGATCTATAAATGTACATAATATGGATGGGATATTTACAAAATCCAACAAACAAATTAAAGAGACAAGAGTCGTTCTCAAAATTATAAAAATAAAAATAAAATAAATAGCTGCGATCTGAGGACACAACATGGCGATCTCTCACCGATTAAACTTCAAGTAGTTCACGTTAGTGCATAATGAGTTTCAAAGTTTAATTATACTGTTATTATTAAATAGAATTCTATTTACAATTGTTATTCTCTCACATGCAACAACACATGCCAATATATATAAGCCAAGAAATTATAATAACTACAATAATTTTCATAACACTTTCATCTCATTCTATAGATATGTACCTTTGTTATTTTCTTCTTATTAGATTGATTGGATTATTTTAAAGTAATTAATTATATTGTGTATTTAATCTTTTTTCATATTAAGAAATAACAATAATTTTCACAACACTTTTATCTATTTTCTTTTTATTAGATTAGACTAGATTATTTTAAAGAAATTAATTATATCGTATGTTTGATCTAGCAGAAATTACAACAATTTTTATAACACTTTCATCTCCTTCAACGTGTATGTGCCTTTGTTATTTTTTTCTTATTAGATTAGATTGTTTAAAAATTATGAATTATGAAATTGTAGTAATTTTTAAATCACTTTAATCTATTTTCTTCTTATTAGATTAGATCACATTATTTTAAAACAATTAATTATATTGTATATTTGATTTTTTTTAGATCACAAAGTTTAATTATACTTTTATTATTTAAATTAAAAGATACTATTTGTATAAAAGTCAAAGAGAATCTCACATGTATTTTAGATCTTAATGTCAATTGTAATACTTACATATTAGTGTTGGTTAAAAAAATTTCATGCATGGGCTTAACTTATATGATCCTACTTTAACCGAATTAGATAATTTATTTTTTTACCCAAACTCTTCAACAAAGCCAAAAAAGAATAGCAACGCTATAGCTATATATATCCACAGGACTACATATATCTTGAAAATGAATGAAGAAAATCACACAAACAAAAACCATACCAATTACCCCACACACTCACTGTTTTCAAAACCACACTTCTCCATCTCCATCTATAATATATTCACATACCCAAATTAAGCTGTTAGAGTTTCCCCCTCACCAACTACATCATTGATCAATTCTCCTTTTTTTCTTTGTACTTAAATTATATAAAATTTATTGTGATGATGATTCACCTGGGTCCTCTGCTTGCATTGAACGTCCAATAAAAAAATAATGTATTAGGCCTTATAGTTAGTTAATAATAAGATCCTGTCATTATAAACAAATTAAGTAAAGATTAATAATTCTTAAGAATGTACTGCATTCTCCTAGCTTCCATTACAAACTTGTTAGTTGTTTATTCTTGACCCCAAGAGGTTTTCAAAATTAATCTTAAGGGTTGTTTGCATTAAAAAGTTCTATTAGAGGGCTCATATAGTTTGTTTTATAGTTTAAGATTGTCAACATATTTTGTCTCTGATACATATCAATTATGAGTAATAATATAACTTGATTGATCTAAGTATATCCTAGTATATTTCTTGACTCTTGTTTTATCTTTTGCTCTTTATTATATATCAACATGATATCATAAATTCATAATTGATATAGATGATGAAGACACTATTGTAGAATTACCCAAGAAAAAGATAAAGATGGAGAATGATTGATTTCAGCTCAATTAAATATGAAAAAAGAAGGAACAAAGGATAATATTTTTTGAATATTTTATAATAGAACTTAATTTTTTGAGTAAAATTACGAATCTTCAGAAGGGATTTTGATACAATATTTTTAATATGCTTATGTGAATAATTTTGTCATATAAAATTATACTAGAGTCACCAGTAATATTTAGTATTTATTTTTTTATTTTAAGTCTATCAATAATTAAGATGTTTGTAGTCTTGTGAAAAGTACGTACACTGTGTTAAGCTTATACAAACCATCTTAATATTAAGTATTTGGTTATATTTTATTAACACATCAACAATACATTATTGTATTTTTTCAAACTTAACACTACATTTAATGACTAAGATAAACAAATTGGAGATCGACGCTTTGATCTGATAAACAAATATGTTACATAGTTTGATATATACAAAATTACAAATTTAAAAAAATAATGTTGTGTATGCAAGTATATAAAAGTATATTTATCCCAGTTTTACATGCAAATCTATTTCATAAAATTTTAAAAAAATATGTAAATAAAATTTATGGCAAATGTAATAATCCATGTTTAAAGATTAACCCAAGATGAATCTAACTTATCTTATAGCAAGAAAATAAACAAAAAAATAAAATAATTTTGATATTTAACTACGTGCATTGCACGTGCATAAGAACTAGTCATACTACCTTTAAAAACACGAGTTCGGGAAAATCTTTTGGTAGACAAAAATACACCTATAAAGTTTGAACTATCCTATCACTAATCAAATTTGAATTTTTAATACTAATCTATCATTAGCCTAGCCTATAAAGTTTGAACTATCCTATCACTAATCAAATTTGAATTTTTAATACTAATCTATCATTAGCCTAGGAAATTAATAAATTCTTAGTAGATATACATAGTATAAAGATAAGGAAACAAATTGTATTTAGATTATATTGGAATTAAGAAATTTAATTACGTTCTCATCCTAATCTATACACTAATATTTACCCACAACTATCTTTACAAATTATTGAATACCTCAATTTTAGATAAATAATTCTCCCCCGCCACCTCTAAAAAGAGCAATCTCCTTTTATGGAATCGAAAGAGCTTTCTCCACTTCTTTGCGGCGGTTGTTTTTTCTCCTAGGGTTCGAATTTTTGGTTGTCAGTCCTACAATGAATGTATGCTTTCCTTCTCAATTTCTTTTTTACTTCTTAGATCTTGATTTGTTTTGGGCGTACTATTCTTGAAAGATTTGTGATGGGGTTTGTTGGTTTAGGATTTTCTTAGAGTTTATGTTTAGATATTCAATCTAAGATGTGGGTTTATAATTTCTATAAAGCTTTTACAGAATTTTTTATTGATTGTGTATTGATTTGACATTTCTTTTTTTTGCTTATATGCCATAGTTTATGTTTAAATATTCATTTTTTAAATTGTATTTGGAATCTGGAGCTGTAAGACTAAAATTAAAGATTGACAATAATTTGCTATGAATATAATGTTTTAAGTTATCATTAAGTAATAAGGTATAGTAATGACACAATGCTTGGTGTTTGATGTCTTTATGAAATGTAAATGAAAAGGCTATCAATTTTGATATTTGTCAGATCTTTACCTTTGAAGCCAACTAAAAGAGCAAAATTTTCATTGATGTGGAGATTAGTGAATTCAGGATTTTAGAGCTGAAATGAAAAACTAGCTAGGATTTAATATGAATTGGTTTGTGGAGAGGGGTAGGGATATGTTTTTCTTCTACAATTGATGATTAGGGACAATTTTGTCAATACTAAGATTTGGGGAAATTTTTTCAAATATGCATGGTTTAAAAGGTATATATAAAAATAAGCATTTCTTTTTTAATCTTAACACATACAAAAATTAAATTTTATTATGGATTTCTTTACCCGCAGGATGATAATGTGACTACCTACTCTTCAATTGCACATTCTCGCTCGTCTTAGACATTAGTATCACCATCAGTTCTTTGAGATACTTATAGATGAGGGTTTTAGGTTGTTGAACATTGTCTCTTCTGTAACAACTATAGCAGAATACGCTATAAAGTTATGCATATTGATCCATGACAACTTTTTGGCTATAACAAAAATCTTTAACTATAGTAATTAAGAATGACAGGAATGTGTCATCTACATATTCATCCAACCAAAAGAAAATAACTTGGGTACTAAGAACATTAAAGTAAATTAGTAGAGTTAGACTAATATCGCTCATGTTATGTCATTTCCCATTCTATTCAGAGATTATTATGATTGTTCCATTATCATGCCCTCTTTAAAATTATGAGTTCGGAAAAACTTTTCATGGTCAATATTACCATTAACTCTTTTGAATATTATATCTTAATCATAATATATCCTAATTATCTAATACAAATTTTAAATATCCTATTACCCTTGATACTTTTTGGATGTTACATTGTAATCTAATCTTAATTAATAATTATATCTTTATTAATAAAATTTGTGGTTTCGTTTCTATTGGCTGTTAGCTAATGTTGATAAGGAAATTCAAATGATCTCAATAAGTTTCTTTGCCTAGCTTATTTGATTATAATCCAATTTGTTATAGAATTAATATTCTTACTTTATGCAAAGTCTGAAAAACAAAAATGTGTAGCTATATATATCATGGTCTGGGATAGAAATTTGAGGAAACTGCAGTAATTTGGAACAGAGCTCACTCCTCTCTATATTTGGAACCACAAGATAATTAAATTATTTGGCTGTTGATATTTGTATTGGCTCTTTGCTTCCTCTTCACTTGAGAGAGATTATATTAGATTTCTTGTAGTGTGATTTGGAATTAGTGATTTGAACCATGAACTACCTGTGTGTATTATCTTATTTATATTTTCTTTGCTTTTTGTGTGATTGATATTTGCTTATCAGGGGATTTGTCATAACACATTAAAATCACTAAATTACCAAGCCCATATTTGAAAATGAATCAGCAAAATATTATTTTATTTATTTGATTAGTATTAGGATTATTCAATTTTGATGTTGTAATTTATGACTTACAGTTCAAACTACACACATTAGTCTGTCAATGCCATAAATGTCCTAAACTCAACATATTTTAAAAGCGGAATGGAGACTCTCGAGTCCCGATGATCTTTATATTTAGGAAGAGGTAGAGATTTTCGTAGTAGCATCTCTGTTATGATAGGATTTCATTCTCGATATGTTCCTTCTCTTTAATATCTCATAAGCTAATTTTTTTCTTAAAAACTGTATGTCTTTGTTCATCGGTCCCCTAAATGCCAAAATATGCATGGTAGGATTTGATGTAATCTGTGAAGGACAAAAGACAGTTCACAAAGTGTTTCAGATCTTATTACCATATTATTTTGCTTATGGGATCTTATAAAACGTTTTGAGCATGAAAACATCGACTTAAGCCACTTATTATTTAGTACCAATGTATATGAAATACCTCCTTAAGTACAAATACGTATGATACAATCATATCCACATCCAGTCTCATTTCCTCATTTTAAATTCATTTATTTTTCACTTGTCTTTTTTAAGTCTTTTTTTTATCAAGTTCTCCTACAGCTGCTTATACAGTTCATTTTTTTAATATATTTACGAAAGCTTGTATCTGCTTTATTTAAATTATATTATTATCGATGAGTCTTAAACGACAAAATTTCACATATTGTTATCGATGAGTCTTTACAATAACATTCGACATATTCCAGTGAAATCTTTAAAGAGAAAAGGTAATGACATTGCCAACAGTATTACAAGTAGCAAACTCAATGTAAAGTTAACTAATAACTAAAAATTTAATGGACATATTACAAGTAAATTCATATGCAAAATTCCTTTGCGAATTAAATGATCACCCATTTTTTAAAGACTTTAAGATACTAATAAATAGAGATGTTGTACTAGATTAATGTGTTTATAACTCAAAAATAGTAGATCACGTGGAGATACTAATAAATAGAGATGTTGTACTAGATTAATGTGTTTATAACTCAAAAATAGTAGATCACGTGGTCACAGTCTGGGTTAAAAAAATATGTACTAGATTAATGTGTTTATAACTCAAAAATAGTAGATCACGTGGTCACAGTCTGGGTTAAAAAAATATTTTATTTGAGAGATTATTGAGTTGATGATCAATCCCACAAAAAAAATTATTTTTTTAACTCTATTTTTATCAATTTAAATAATCATGATATTCAAATTATCTAGAAGAAAATGAAGGCTATTGCATGACTGTCCTTAGGTTCGATATCAAACATGAGAAGTTTGAAGTTACATCGATCGCTCATACACCCACTTAGAAGAGATTGTTGTATAACTATACATGAGCTAAGAGGGCATGTTTGCGTTGCACTTGTTACATATAAAAAACCTCGAGTGAAGGTATGTTTGCTCAAGGATAACAAGAATTGGATTGAGATGTTGAGCGTTTGTACCAAAAATTGCCAAGAGAACTGCTTAGGTTCACCATAATTACCTAAAGTTATCAGTATCGCTAATGACAAGATTCCGTTCGAGTATCGCAATTACGGGACTATTCAAGCAGATTATGTTGTCATGACTTTGAGCATGATACTTGCACTCTAATCCTAAATGAAGTTGTTCCATGTCTTTCTTCGTACTCGAAAAGTCTCGACTCAACAAGAAAATTGATAAGAGGCATGAAGTCTGTTGTAGAAAACTTTTAATGGACCTCTATTTTTATATGAATTTAGGGATTTGTTGATTCTTTAGTTCTATGGTTTTATTTGTGCTAAGCACAGCCGCAGAAACTGTTGAAAATATTTAAAGTAAATTATGAAGAAAAAGGATCTTTTTAGATATGTTTTAGTGCTTATTTGTTGCTATTACTTACGGAAGTTTTCTGTAAAGATTCTATTCTGCTCGGTTTGTTCCTCGAGTATTGTCGGTGATTTTGTTGCTCCTTTTTTCCGTTTACATATATCGGGAAGTATTACATAATGATATGTTCTATGAATTCAAATTCTATGTTAGGAAAGAATATTGTAGTGTCAAATAAATGAAAGAACAACCTTGTTTTTTTTCTTAAAAACATTTTAGTTATTTGCCACTTGCAGATTTAGTAGTCTAATTGTAATCTAGATAGTTAGAACAATAATGCCAAAAAGTTGACGATCTAAATCTCGACCTTCCTAGAATTTATCAATGCTAAAATAAGTATATATTTATATACTTATTCTGTGGATGCTTTTATATCATATAAAATTATATTAGAGTTAGCATTAATATTTAGCTTATGATTTTCAATGAAGTCTATCAATGATTATGAATAAAATTCATATTCTCTTTTGTGCCATGTAGCCACTTCTCATCAATTGTCTAGGCTCATTGGCTTTAATTATTTCTCTTGCTATTATGCTATTTTTTAAAATATTTTCTACTTTTACAGCATTATACTTCCTTAGGTGAAGCATCCTTTCATGTCGATTTAAATAACATGAATATTCAAATTGGCCTCGCGTTGTTTTCGTGTAGCCCATTCAAACAAATATTAGTTTTTCATGTAGCCCACTCAAACAAATATTAAAGAAGATAAATAATTACAATATTAAATTTTAGAGACATAATTGAGAAAAAATCGAAATCAAAGAACAAATTTTAGTAAGAAAATAAACTAAAAATGAATAATTATGATATTTAATCACGTGCAATGCACGTGCATAAAAACTAGTCTATCTAAAAATGGCAGTTCATGTGCTAAGTGCTAGTAAATGAGTTAAGGGGGTTAGTGCAACTGAATGTATAGATGAGAGGGGGTTATATGCAAATTACCCAAAAATAAATATAATTGAGATAAGTAATGTCCGGAAACAATATTCATAGTTAAAGCATATGGGAATAACCAAAATGCATCTAAGCTAAAGACTTACAGTTATATCGGGTTCAGGGCTTTTATATGGTACCAGACTTAGCTCATCAGACTTCACATTACTTTCAGGTGCCAAAATATCTGACGAAATTGTTGATTCCCTTTCTCCATCATATGTGATGGAAAGAGAACCAAATTCAAGTACCATGGAACCTCCTTCCCACTTTAAGTGACTAAGAAATGTCTGATAAGACTCATCCACCATGGAGGATTCAGATGGTTTGTTGACACCTTCACCAGATTTGGGCCAAAGTCTTCTTCTTTTCTGCCCTTTTTTGGTTGCGGAATCATTTCTGCCCTCAAGCAGAATATTGCCTGAGCTTGTTTTGGTAGCAGCCTCATTGTTTTCAGATAAATCATCCTCCCCTTCATATTTTATAAGTGTTGGCGGGTCATTATCTCCATTTATCATTTCAAAAACATATGATTTCCCATCTTCCCTTAAATGTTCAAGAAACGTTTTATAAGCAGGATCTATATCTTCAGTGTTTTGGGATAAAGGCTTTGTCATGGTATCTATAATTTCATTCTCATGTGCATATTGATTGTTCAAGAACCGCATGTAGTCCTCATCCTCCATCTTGATCACCATTTTTAGCCTCTGGTGTTCTCTTCCTGGAAGACTAGTAATGAAGTAAGCACCAATTCGAAAAAGGTATATGTGATTATCTATCAAAAAGGAAGCTTTTCTTAGTTAAAAAAAAATTATCGTTTTCATGTATCCATATAATCACTTGTCCAGACTCCAGAAAATGTCAGTACTAAAATTGGTCCATTCAAGATTTTACCTTGGTTGAAACTGAATGAGTCGCCTCAAATGGATTCAAATTCCAAGATTCATCACCTGCTAACAAAAACTCAAGTTCATAAGAGTTAAAATAGATAGATGTTTGAGCTATATAAAGGGAAATTTTTGCATTATTTAGCATAAGGTTAAGTAGCTAAGTAAAACAACTCTAACCTAGCTTCACTAACCTAAGTCATAAGTGTAGAAGATAGAAGCACAGAGCAATTATTTATTCCTTTACCTGTTTCTAGGTGAGTTATGTATCCATAAAGGGGCTATAGAAGCAATAGCTAGCCGGGGGCAGATTTAGATTCATGTATTGGGGTGCAATTGCACCCTACAAATTAAGAAACTGCATATAAGCCCGTGTAATATTTACAATCCGCACCCAATCCCCTAAGC